CCCTAAACCCTAAACCCCCATGATTTGAGAAGCTCCCGCCTTCTCCTTCAGCATTTGAATGCACTGGTTGTGCCTGTCTCGCATCTGCATCAGGGAGCTCTGATCTTGATCAATGCCTGCCCAAAACGGGAGTTTCCAATAAGAGGGGGGGTACGGTCTAGGGGCTTAGAGTTTAAAGCTTAGGTTTTAGGGGCTCCTGAAAACCGGCTTATGTACGTTCGGCGATACAAGGGGACACTCAGAAACTCCTGCAGCAGGCGACGGCAGCATATGAAGCATTTGAGCATATGGTGTTTTCCATAAGTACCACAATGTCGACCCCCGTATTTCAATCCTTCTGTTGCAAACTCCCAAAAGGATACCCCAGATCTTGGGAAACTCCCGCATCAGCCCTTACAGCATACAAAGGCTTTGCAGCCCGTGACCTCTCAACCAAGCCTTTGTAGAGGCTTAGATAATTTCAACAGGCTTTCTCTATAGAAAAGAATTACAAGTATGAACCTATCTAACTCCTGAATTATCCTTGTAAGCCCCTTTATAGCAGTATAAAATCCCTATATAGCCTCCTTGTTTTTGTTTCTGTGCTGTATTCAGGCTCCTACATGACAAACCCTCATTTCTCCGCCCTCCGATTTGGCACATGATAGAACCACACCCTAGACCCGAAATTCTGTACCCTAAGCCCTGATCCCCCCCATACTAACATGCAACGTAACAAGGGGCCGTTCTAGAGACTACGGTCTTTTAAAAGTGGGCTATATGAGGTGAATGTGTGTGCTGGGGGGGGGGGGTGTAACCCTCAACCAGTACACCAAAACGACAACAACCAGGAAACGTCTTGGCTTTGCTCTGCGAGCCACGATTCAGACCAACGTTGGAAGTTCGAACCTTGTCTGCTCTTGACTACACCCTACCCAAAGGTCCCTGTAGGGGCATAGTAGGATTTCTTTGACTGCAGGGTGGTTGTATGGGAACCCCTCTAGGCCCTAGGCTCTAAGCACATATTATGTACCTACATGGACCCTATGGGCTAAGGGTCCTAAGTGAAGGCTTTAGGGACTATGGCCTTGAGGAGCCAGAACCCTACTATCGGGTCCTGGAGAGCCTCAAATACCGCGGATTAAAGCTCACAGGTACCCTACAGAACAAAAAGACAAATATCAAAAGCTCTGAACTCTCTCAGTTTGCGTGATTGCCAACAATAAGTTCTACCAGGAAACAGTGAGGCTGGTCATCATCTGCTGTGCGTACGTTAGCGTCTTGGCTGTCTCTTCCATCTCATCTAGCTCAGGTCCGATGGTTGCCACGACCAGGGTTCCTGAGTGGACACCCCAGATGGGACTAACCCCACAATAAGGACCCTCTTAAAGGGAATAATCGAAAAGAACCAGAGTTCTTTTAGGTTCTGTTGAATTCTGGGGCCTCTGGGGATCTACCTCGCAAGTTGCGCATGTGTTGCTTGAAATACCCAAAAATGTTTGCAACAAAGACCTCCTTCGAAAAGCAGAATGAAACTTCCTCAAGGATATGTATCCAGTTGAGATCTGATTTTGTGTACGTACGCCTACTCATACATGTATACAACGTGTATATGTGCATACACTATTTCCCGGGATAGGCGGATGAGGAAAGTCAGGGTTGCACAAGTTTGATACTTGAGACCAAAAGAGGAAAATCTGGAAACGTGGTTTAGAGTTAAGGGTTCCCTCAAACCCCTGACTTCTTGAAATCCAACTGCACAAACCCCGGTTCTGAGCCCCATTGCTCGCCCTGAGAAATCCCAATCTTCGCACCCCACTCTTAGGCCAAATCCACTCTCCCCAGCCGGACCACGAATCCCTGCACCCGAACCACATCGTAATTTTAAAGTTCCCCCGGAGCAAGAGGCACAATCTTGGTTTTGAAGTTGCTATGCCAGAGGCTATTCTCAATGTATTCCCAAAAAAGTATGGGGAGTAGCATTTTATGAGTTAGGGCCTATTAGGGTGCAACTCATAGATGCGAGTTTTTCAAAACAGCCGCTATGGAGTTGTATGTGACCCCAGAATCCCCTTGTACCCCCTGGATAGCCTAGTTCTGGCAACCACTACCCACAATCCTTAGACCCTATATATACCTTTGCGCCCCACTTATTACTAGAGTTCCCTATGCATCCTAAAACCCTGAACCCCAGAACCCCAACCCCACAAGACCAAAACGCTAAACTCTCAAACCAATTACTTAAAATCACTGTTTCCATTTCGTATTCCGCTTTCCTTTCAAATCGATTCTCATTATCCTTAACCCTAACGCCTAAACCCTAAA